AAAAACCATTTTTTAAAAAAAAAAAAAAAAAAAAAAAAAAACACAACAACAACAACAATTAAGGACCTGTTTAGTTCACTAATTAAAATTTTTAATTTGAGTTGAAATATGACTTTATATAAAAACTTTTTACCTTAATAAAAAAAATTAAATGTGATTATTTTTTTAAAAAATTTATTATAATAAAACTCAAATTTTAAATTCAAATTGATAAAACGGAAATAGTAGGAAATAGACCGATATGAAAAGCTTAAGAAAGTATATAGACTAATTTTTAGTTATAAAAATTAATAGGCCATAACTTGTCAAGTTATGGTTCATAACCAAATAAGTTATGGACAATAACTTATCAGTCTATTTATTAACTTATGTAAACTATTGACTTATTAATTTTAATTCATCTCAAATTTTGACATATTTTTCTGTTTCTCCGTTGATAAAATAACGGGGCATAAACTGACTTATTGCGTGCCCAAAACTTACGCTAGCGAGCTCAAACTGACTTGTCGCGTGCCCAAAACTTACGCTAGTAGGGCTCAACTAAGCTTGACATGTCCCAGTTGAGGTTATTTGATAGCTCAGCTCTACTTGTATCATAAACTCTCTTTTTATCGTCAACTTTCTTTTAAGAGCATCATTGTACTGTGTAGTCAAGCAATGAAAAAGTCCTTAACTGTTTATAATTGGACAATTATCTAGTGGTCTAGTGTGTTTCCATGGGTATACGGTCAACACCACTCATTCGTAGATATTTAATTTATAAATTCAAAATTATAATTTAAAATTATTTTTAATTTACGTATATTTTTTATAAAAAAAAATATTATAATAAATTATAAATTATACGATGACACGAATTCTCGTAGAAAACATACAAATGAACACCTTTTCTTATTAATGTATCATTATTGTACCCAAAAAAAAAAAAGGAAAAAGAAAAAAAGACTTTTCTAACAGAACTTTCCCTGAATAACTGGACAAAATTAGGTCCAACCATTTACTCTACTTATTTAATGGTAGCAAGGACCAAGCAATTACTTGAATACAAACTCTATTGCAAGGAACGGGTTTGGTATAAACACGCAGTGACATTTACTACCGCACATTTATTGTTTTGTTTATAAAGATGGGAAGTTCCAACACGCCTTTGACTTCTATTTCAGACTACTGAAAACCAGGCTCCAATCTCAAGTTCTCTTTTTCCTTTTTTTTTTTTTTTTCCGCTCCACCGTCAATTAAATTTTTTGAAAAAACATTTCAGCAAAACTCTTTAAATTCAAATTTTTTATAAAGAAAAAAAACCCAATTGAACCGAGAGTAGTTTAAACTCATCCTCTTTTAAATTCCTTCAAGCCCGTTGTTTTCATACGTTTAAATATATAATTCTAAATTTACTATATTACTTTTTTGTTCACAAAAAATTAAAAGAAAATATTCTAACTGATAATTCCCATTTGAATACAGAATCAAAATCCAACACGTGAACCAACCTGCGATTGATGTGTTTTATATTCGCAATTATTTTTTCCTTTTTCTGGAGAGGTGGGAGGGGAAAATTGGAGCCAAGAAATTGCCACTTCAACTACGGAGAAACCAACAAAGTCCACACCAAAAAAAATAAAAGAAAAATAAAAAAGGAGGAAATAACTAATAAGGAAATATATATAAACTTTTTGACTATATTGTGATATATTCCCACCTTGCTTCCAGCTCTCTTACAAAGTAGAAAAGCAAATCTGCCCCGCAATGAAAAAAGATCTAGATTTACAAGCCGGGAAAATAGCCAAACAAGTGAAGAAGAGGGGGGGGCAAAAAGAAAACTGAAAAAGAAAAAAACGAAGAAAAAAGATAACAAGGATATAAAGCCAACTAAGGAAACAAAAACCCTAAAAACCCAAAATCCTAGCAAATCTCAAAACCTTGTTAGGAGCTAACCGCTTTTAGTAAAAAGGGACCCAAAGATGAAAAAAAAAAAAAAAAAAAAAACCATGGATTATGAAAACCCTAGCCTGCCCAAGATGCTTTGAAAATTCTACATGAAACCCACTTTCTATTCCTCAATGAATTATTGACCCTCCACCAACAGAGCAAGAGATGAGCTTCTTTTTCATCAAGGCAGCCCCTAAATGCCCGGAAAACATATTTGCCAGAATCTTGCCCTTCAACTTCTAGTAGGTAAATATGTATTTCGGCAACCGGCAAGACTTCTGATACAAGTAGAAACATGAACGCGCATTCGAGCGAGGACCCCCCCCCCCGGCTCTTGCAAAGCAAAACTAGCAACCATTTACATTCCCATTTGCCACAATTCTCTTCTCAGGCACAACTGGCTTAGCACCCTTTGGGGCATCACCAGCTGCGGCACCCGTACCATTCTCAGCAACTTTCCCGTTGTCGCTAGCAGGCACGGTTGGCAAAGGGTCCTTGATCAAATCTGATCCAGCCTCCAAGGGTTTCTGGCTCAACTCCCCATTTGCCACTTCCTTCTTCTCATCAACTGCCTTTCCTTCCCACACCTGATTTCATATTTTTCCCAAAAAATGGAGAAAACCATCTCTCTTAAATAATGCAAGAAATCAAAAGGACAAAGTAGCAAAGCAATAAATATTATCACATTTAACAAAATAATTTACCTGCTTCTGAAATTGCTGTTGCTTAGCTTTCTTCTCTTGGATTGTCTTTTGGCGGGTCTCATAAAACCCGAAATCATCCAGAATGCATGTCTTGCTAGAGTGCTCCTTGAAGATTTTAATCAGCTTAAGCCCTGGCTCAATCTTGACCTAAACAACAAATCCGAGTAAAACCAGTTTAGAATCAACCGCAAGAAAAGAACAGCAATAGTACAACTAGGGGAAGTAAATTACCTCTTGGGTGTCCCTACTGTTTGTCACGGGCTTGTTCTCATTGTTCTCAAGCGTAATGTGCTTCAACAAACTGTTGGGAACATCCTTAACAATGTGCCACTTAACAGGGAAGCAGCCATTCCACTTGTCCTGCTGCCAGTACTCCACGCTCTTGCTGAAATCAACAGGCCCGACCATCTCTGCTAGACCAACGAACTGCCCACTGGTATTAACCTAGAAAACGAATCAAGAAATTGTTTAACCTGTGCAAATACGTCAATATCATATAAAGGTGTACACGAGTCAAATTTCCTACCGAGAAGAAAAGGAATACAGGGCAGCCACCAGATTTCTCCTGAGCCTCCTGGTAGGCTGCGTGAAGTTTCTTGTTTCCGTTGGGTGTGCTTGCCCATACATTATACTTGATGCTCTTGTGGACATCATCTTCACTGTAAGACTTAATAATGAAAAATTTGGCATCAGCGTATTCCTCAGGCAAATCTGCCTTGTTGTACTGTTCTCGGTCTGGAATAACCGCCGCCGTCTTATCCTTCTCCTTGTCATTAATCGCGTTCGTTGGTAGATTCTGCCCCTTGACTGCTAATGTTGTAGGTACAAAATCCTTTTGGTTCTTGGAGCCCTTGGCTCTAGGCCCTCTATTCAGCTCATTCAAACCATCCATATTCTCATTACCATACCCATAGTAGCCACCATTTCTCCCCCTCGACTTATACTTGCCATCAACAGCCAGCCATGCACGTCCACTTGCTCGTGAGTCGTAGCCGTGATATCCAAATCCCATACTGGATCTCATCGGGTTGCCATATTGGCCGTATATCTTGTTTGGGAACATTCTATTCACATACCCGTGGCTCATGGAAGACAATGGTCTTGGGTGGTGCAATCCCTGAGAATCAAATAAACAAAAAATTGAGCTAATAATAAATAAATCTCAACTCAGATGAAAATAGTAATAACTAAAGATTTCCAAGTAATAATTTGCATAAGAAAACTGCATACCATGAACTGAGAATTTGGCCGGTAATTCTGATTCCTTAAAGAGGGAAGATTGTTGCCATTTGCAATTGAAGTGATAGTTGTGCTGGTCACAGGCCGAGGCTGCCAATCTGAAAAAGTCAAGGTATCTAAACATGGCTTCGAAGAACATAAAACATCAAAACCAAATCTTGGATCCTGAAAATCAGGAGTAGAAACACAACCTGGCAAAGGGGCCCTAGCATACGAACCATTTGAATTAAAAGGCGAGTTCTGATATGCTGGTTTTAAAGGAGCTGAACCATTGATTCCCTTCACGCCACCACCGTTTACAATACCGTTGGAATTCCCATTAGCTGCATCCAAAGGCAGCGCCTTTTGATCAGTGGCAACAGAAGTGGATACATCACTTTGGGGAACAGCAGCGCTAGGCGTGTATGGCGCACTACTAGGAGTAAGCGGCTGGAAATAGGGCGGATACTGGTAGTGCTGCGGCCCATACAGCTGACCATCATTTCCCATAGTAGGAACTGGGGAAGCAGCCGGTGAGTATGGGCCATAAGGAGCATACCCATAACCATGATACATAAGAGACCCATTATCCCCATAAACTCCCTGCAACATGAAAAAACATACAATGAGAACATAAAAGATTATCCCAATTCTCAAAATTACAGTAAGAAAAATACAGTTCTTTTGATATCCCAAGAAATCCCTTTAAACCACTTTGTGGATTTGAGTTTGAAACGAGAGCCCCCCGACAAAACCCGCACAATCTTTAAGTTTAAGAAGCACAAAATTGACGAGAATTAGCAAAGACAACTTACAGAAGTCATCTCCACTCCATCTGGATTCATATAGCGCGAGTAGTCATCCCACTCGTTACCAGTACCATCATAGCCTGCAACTCGAATCGCACGAATAAAACCTCACATAAAAACTAAAAACTCGCTAACCAAATTATAACAAGTTCCACCGCACAAAATTCACAAATCAACTGACCTCCATAGTAATAAGCCGTAGATGGATAGCCATTAGGGACATAGCACACCGACGGGTCCATAAAGTCCGGTAACAAAGGACTCACAGACCGGTCGGCCGGCGGGATCTGACCGTTCACAGCATTGCCCGAATCAAGAGACCCGAATTGGTTAGCAGATTGCTGAAAAGAACAGAACCGACTCAGTCAGACAAACAATCACCTCTTCAATGCTCAACGTTTTAAATGTGAACGCTTAACAAGTACGTCAGATTTCTTTTTTGTGGTCCAATCTCATTAAACGTTTTAAACATCAACCTTCTTTAACAAGTACCATCATAAGAGTAAACCTTTTAGATCTCAATTTTCATTAAATCAGAAGAAATAGTAAGTTATAATTCTATACATATACCTTCTTCGTAGGCTCAGGAATTTCCGCGCCCTTCGATTGAGAATCTATTGATAGCTTCTGAAGAAAATCTGCTGTTTCTATAGAAACGAAAAAAGTAAAGGAAAAATACGTGCCAATTTTTCAAAATTAGTCTGTTAATCATGAAAAATAACAGCACACATAACATCTTTAATACCTCTAAATCACCAAAAACACAATTGACGAGTCAAAGAAAAACCTGTAAATTACAAAAACCAAGTAAAAAGAAAAAAAATATTGAATCCAATTCACAAATTGTCAAAATCTATATACTAAGCAAAATAACTAGAATTAAGGCTACAAAACCAACTGAAATTATTATTTCAAACACTCAAATAAACACACCAAAAAAAACGAAGAAAATCATCAACCCTACTATACAGCTATAATTCAAACTAATAATTATGTAAAGAAAAAACATGTCAAACGACAAAAACAGAAGCAATAAGCTCCGATCTACAATATAACACAAAAAACTAACACCAAGAAAACGAAACAAACCATGTTCGATCAATAACAAATCACGAACGACAGATCGGGAAAGACCCAGAAACGAAAACAAGAAAAACGACAATACCCAGATGGGAAAATCGACTAAGGATACGATCTGCTTTAGCAACTGTGGCCATGACCGGAGCTTGGTAAAAATCAGATCTTCTCTTATTATTTTCTTCTTCTTCTGCTTCGGTATTAAAACCCTAAAATCTGAAAACTGAATTAACTGGGGTTTTAGGAAGAAACAGAGAGGGAGAGAGAGAGAAACCCTAACAAAAGGAGATAGATAGAGAGAGAAAGACGAGAGGAGTGAGAGAGAGGAGGGAACAACGGGTCTCACAGCCGCCAAGGGTTTGGGTTTTTGGAAAGAGAGGGTTTTGTTCATCCAAAAGCGGTGATTCAAATAGCACCACGGCTCCTCGTTTCCACCCCATGATATAATTACCCGCGTGTTACGTCGGTGATCTCATCGCCTCTTTCCTATTGGGTAGTGTTGCCACGTTTCGGTCTTCTAATGGCTTTTTGTCCAGTTGTTTCGTAACGTCTTCCTTTTCTTCTCCCCCAAGGCGGGATTCGATTGGCGGGTGTGATCACCCGCGGGTGACAAGCTTTGTCTCTTCATCCTAAACCTGATAGTTGTACCTTTGTGGAAGAGTTTGGAAACCCTAATTACAAAAGGACATGGATGTCCCTATCTATTAATCTATTTGACAATATTACCCCTTGTCTAGAATGTCATTAGTTCAAAATACTTGGGCATTTTTGGGGGTTGGGTTTTGTTTTTTTGGGTAGGGGCATTCTCGGGCGGAACTTTGGCAAAGAGACGTCCTATTTCAGAAGACTTTTTCCTTTTTTTTTTTTTGTTCGGACCCTCAAAAAAAGTATATATAAAAAAAAAATTTTGAATTAAAGTATAAAGCCATTATCTAAACCCGCGTACGGACAAATCTCAATATAAAAAAAAAAAACCGTGTATAGACCGAGTGAAAAGAAAAGAAAATCTCAATGTTATTAACTAGCCATTTTATTCCGGCTCCCCCTTCCCATTTGATTCCGATCGAAGGGAATTTTGATGAAATTTATTGAAGATAATTTTCCCTAAAAATAGTCCCATTCAAGAAAAAAATAAAAGAAAAACTATCCGCAGAAAAGGAATGAAGAGAAAAATATGTTAAAATTTGAGATGAATTAAAATTAATAGGCTAATAATTTACATAACTTAATAAATATACTAAATTATTATTTTCGTCTATAACTTGTCCGGTTATGAACCATAACTTGTCCAGTTATGAACCATAACTTGACAAGTTATTGTCTATAATAATTCACGGTTTTTGTCCATAATTTGTCTAGTTATAAACCATAACTTGATAAATTTGTCCATAACTTATCTGGTTATGAACCATAACTTGACAAGTTATGCCCTATTAATTTTTATAACTAAAAATTGACCCATATACTTTCTTAAGCTTTTCATATTGGCATATTTTCTACTATTTCCCGCAGAAAAATCATTCCTATTTTTTTTTTGTTGTGTGAGAATTCATCCTAAAAACTTTTGATCGTCTATAAAAAAATAATAAAATTCATCAAATAAAAAATAGTAGTGAAATGAAGGATCTGTTTAGTTTATTAATTCGAATTTTTATTTCGAGTCGATATGTAACTTTATGTGATAACTTTTTATTGTAACAAAAAAGTTAGATGTGACTTTTCTGAGAATTTTTTACTATAGCAAAACTCGAATTATAAACACGAATCGGTGAAATGAACGGGGCCAAAAATTTCAAGTTATGGTATATTTAATGTGATACTAAATTAGTCTGCTAATTTCAATTTCTAACATTTTCTCCCATATAGTATTATATTTGATGCTAAATTTTATCACAAGTAGAAATGTTCTATTCTTATAAATTTTATGATTTTTGGGATTGGGATGAGTAGAAATGCCCCTCAATTTGAAAATCACAAGTATTTTCTTCTTCTTTATACTTTTTGCATTTGATGAGAGTTTCTCGATGAACATAAATAGTCGGATAATCTTGACAATATCACTTAAAATAGCATGTGTTATGATTTTTACTTTTTACTATTTGATTGATAACCTTTCTAGTCAAATAATTACACTAATAAAATGATATTTTTCAAGAGTAATGTGTAAAGACCCAAACTCATACACTCTCAAAAGTAAATTCTCCATTTTTTCTTAGAGTAATTATATTTACTCCCATAAAATTTATTAATACGCCCACCAAATTATAATTTATATTTATTACAATTTTATCCTCTTGTTAAAATTACAATAAAACTCCTTAATATACCCCTACACTAACCATAAATAGAAATGATAAACAAAAAAGCATACACCCACATAACTATAACTATAATTAGCAAGTACTTTTTCAAAAAGTTGAAAAAAAATACCCCACTGAGGACAATTTGAAACATCATATACTTCAACGCATTCTTCAAATGAATAGCGTTTTTTTTTTGTTATTGTTATTATAACTAATTTTATTTAACAAAAAATATTGTTTAAGGATGAAGAATTTTGTAGAACGTTTAACAAAAAGAGAAATGCAATAAATTTTAATCCTTCATTTTTTGTAGGATGACATACTTGATTGTTCTCTGGACTCTAATATAAAGATTTCAATATATATATATATATATATATATATAACACAGAGATAGGTGATAAATTAAAAAACTCTTAACATATATAAGAACAATAATTTTGAAAAAAAAAATGCATGGTGTATTACTAGTATTATGTGTGATTTTACATTGTCATTGTAGGAGTCAAAAGAATTATTAGTACAAAACGAAAAACTTAAGCTAAAAAGCTTATAAATAAAACTGTTTTTTTCTTTTTATGGATAAATTTGTTTCAAAATAATATAAAACACAAGATGGTGTATAGTTTTCCATAAATCAAATCTAAGATTAAAATTAGTGAGGGGATATAAAATGGTTAAATAAGGAATTATAAAAATAAAATCTGATAGATTTTACAAACCTTCATTAACAAAGTATTAATTAGTGAGGGTATTAATGACATGTTTACTTATCAGGATTGAAGAATAGGAGTGGAGAATGAGAGTCAATCTCATGTTTACTTGCTCTTTTTTATCTTAGAATGAGAGTGAGATTGGTGGGTCCCACTCAAATTTGGGATTGGCACTCTCATGCCCCCCATTGGGATTGAGACTCCCATTCCTAAATTAAAATTTAAAAAATAATAGATGCAACATATATTTATTATTTTAGTACCTAATTATTACACTAAATATTTTAATTATGATTAATTTTAATATAATAAGTACACAATATATTTTTTAAATTGAAAATATCAAATTGATTTAAATGGTATATTAGTACTTTTACACTTATTTATTTTGATTTTGGGTGTAAGTAAACGTATGAATGAGATTTAGAATGACTGAATCGAATCTTATCACTAAGGGTTCGTTTGGTTGGAGGATTCAAACCACGTGATTCGAACCATTTTCGATTTACGTGTATTTTTTGTGAGAGAAAATACTGTAGCGAACCACGAATCATGATTCGAATCAGGGAACGAATCCCTCTACCAAACGCCCCTTAAGTAAACAGTTTATTCTGACTCCGATTTCTCACTCTGAATCCTACCTACTCTAAATTTTGTTCACTCTGATTCATGCTCATTCTGAGTACGCGTAAGTAAACATCCCATAAATATAAGCATTCTTTTCTACATAGTGACATTGTGCCCTGAAAGCCCATTTCTAAAAGGCCATCCTGCACTACTAGTCATTATTTTTCACATTAAAAGGCCCAATATGGCCTATTGGGTTTTGAAAACCTACTTATATTTTGAACGTTCTAAAGGGCCGTAACGAGTAGCTTGGGCCCGTTTTACGGTGTTCAAGCACCACGACGTACGCCACTCATGGATCAAAATGAAAACCTGAAAACATGAATTTATTATTGAGAAATAATAGAAAATAGGTCAATATGAAAAGTTTAAAAAAGTATATAGGTTAATTTTTAGTTATATAAATTAATATGTCATAATTTGTCAAGTTATGGTTAATAACGAGATAAGTTATGGACAAACTTATCAAGTTATGGTTCATAGTCAGATAAGTTATGGACAATTATGGACAATAACTTATCAAGTTATGGTTCATAACCAGATAAGTTATGGCCGAAAATATTAATTTGACCTATTTATTAACTTATGTAAACTATTGGTCTATTAATTTTAATTTATCTTGTGTCTTAGCCTATTTCCCTCTTTCTCCCTTTATTATTCTATTTTTGTAACTCAGAAATCTCCGATTTTATTCTTTTTACAACTCAAATTGCAATTTAATTTTTATTATTATAGTATTTTTTTCACAAAAATTTAAATTTAACTTTTTTTTTATAATATTTTTCTCTTACATACAACTCAATTCTTAACTTAATCTGTGAAGCAAACATACCCGTTTCAAAAATGGGTACAATTTAACGTAAGAATCATTTTGTTCTTCTAGTCCGAAGATGAATCCAAAATGTTTACATGCATTTTGACCATTTTATCCTTTTATCAAAATTTAATGTAAAAAATCATAGCTTAAAATAATTCTAAAAAAAAATCATAGCTTAAAATAGAAAATTATTTCTGCAAACCTTTCTTTTGTAAACTAGTATAGTTTTTGGCGCTCTAAAATTGTTATGCTTTGGTCAAAAACATATTGGTCGTATTTAGAATTGATCCCGTTTTTATTTTTCACGTTTTTTGAGAAAGAAAAAATGAAAACATTTTTAAAACGGCGTTTGGCTCAGTAAAGACAAAAAACAGGAATGAAAACGATTTTTTAGTTTAGTGTAAAATGAGAGAGAAATAAAAAATGACTTTTAGTTATTTTTCATTTTTTGTTTTCGTTTTCTCCTATCTCGAGCAGAGAGAAAGATAGAGAAACATTAATAGGTTTTTTTTATATTGAAAATAATCTCTTAATAAAACTATCAAACGCATTTTCAAAAATAATTTATGTCTGAGATTGAAAACGTTTTCATTTTTATTTTCATATAAAAAATAAAATAATTTTAAAATGAGCTCTAAACGCACCAATTATGTCGTTATATGGGCAGTTCGGTCATTTTAAAATTTAACATTGCACATCTCTATGTCAGTCATTGAAAGGGGCAAGAGGGTAATTCTGATTTCAGATTAATTAATTTTAAGAGTGATTTTTCAAAAAAAATTCGATTGATATACGCACACAAATGACGAGTCTGTGGTTTTTTTTTTTTAAATAAAAAATAAATTTATCTATCCATTCAATAATTATCGCATGACGAGCTTTACGTATCATTCATTCCATTACATGATAGAAAACTGCTAAAGATGTTTAACATTTGATTAGCTAGGATACACAGACAAAAAGGCAAGAAATAGTGAAAGATGATTCTCTTTCAATCATTTATTATTGAAGCAAAGCCAAGATTTCATGCAAGTACACATTTGTAGACCGAGAATGAAACTTCTGAAAATCATGAGCAATTAATTATTATTATTATTAACTTTATAACCCAAAAATCAGATTTTCTTTAAGCTTCACTTATAAGTTGATCATCATCATCATCATCATCTTCTTCATGAGCAGCTGAAGTTGTACTCGTTGTATCAAATGTGTTCACACGCACAACCAAAGGACTCGTAACCTTATGGCTCGAGTAATCTGACCAAACAATTTCCCCAAAGTCGTATCTTCCTTGAGACTTCTTCCGCGGTATGAGAGTAACATGGTAGGTTACTTCTTCCCTAAACCACGAGAAAAACAAAACCTTAGGCCACACCACCACTTGCACGCCATTAGGCTCAACGACGCTGCTGAAATACAGGGCGCATTTGCATGGTCCTACGTTGCGGACCGTCCTCTTGATTGTCACAGTAGACCGAAGATTCGAGACTGTGATGGAAGGGTAATTTAGGTTGAAGTTTGGTTTTCTTGATTTTGGACACCTTATGAGGTCAGGACTTGGGCAGGGAAGAAGAAGGACTTGTATTTGTTCTTGAGTGTAGCCGAGATTGCAGAGGAATAGGATGTGATCGCTGGTTTTCATGTCGTAAACTAAGCCAGGATCCATAGCTCTTACGGGGTCTACGTGGCCGGCGCCAATGTCAAAGGGATCGGAAACTTTTGTTGGTGATCCATCGGATAAAATTTCATCAAGGGAATTGTCCCTTGTGTATGCTGCAACAAAGATTATAACAGATTATATTTAAATTATAAGACCTAACACTAAAAAATATATATATTGTTGGGTATTTTTATCTAAAAATTCAAAAAAACAGGTGAAGAAAAAAAATTGATGCAGCCTTGATCGTGATATTGATGAAGACTTGAACGTGATCGCCATATTGATGAAGAACGTGGTGCAGGATTATTTTGCTGCAGATTTCGTTTACATTTAAAATTTGAGGGTGGTGATAATGATTTCAAATGAGAGTTCAAGTTTTAATAGGAGATATATACTTTTAGTTTGAATTACAAAAGTGTTTCTGGTTGTGCGTGGAGATGAAGCTTTGAAATTTGAGAGCTATTTCACGACGAGTCCAGATTGTTGTCCCCATTTTCTTGTCTCGATAATTGTCTCTCTAGTTATTACATCATTTAAATTTAGGAATCTAACCACATAAAAATGAACAAAGTGCTAAAAATACTTAAGCATCTCACGAGGTGTAATTGGTGAGACAGTCACAGAGACAGGAAAATACTTAAGAGATCAAGTGATGATTTGAAAAAAATAAATCACCCATTTGGAATTTTGAAGTTATACATATATTCTATGCATTTTGGTGAAGATGAGTAGTAGTAGTAGTAGTAGAAGTAGTATCGTTCAATTAAAAATATACCTGTAGTCATGAGAGCAGACCTGAGAGCAGCAGGAGACCAATTGGGATGTGCAGATTTGAGAAGAGCAACAATGCCTGAGACGTGAGGGCATGACATTGAAGTTCCTGATTGAAAATTCCATTCTACTGTACGGTTATCATCAATTATGCCGTTTCCAGGAATTGGAGGAGTTTTTGTTGGCCAAGCAGCTAAGATGTTTAGTCCAGGAGCACTTATATCTGGCTGTTGTTAGACAAAATGCATATATATATATATATATATAGCCACAAATATATTGTATATATGGTGTGTGTGTGTATCTATATATATATATATATATATGTATATATACCTTGAGAATATCGGGTTCAATTGAGCTTGGCCCTCTTGAAGAGAAGTAGGCAACTCTTGGTGCTACTGACTTCCTAATGACAGCTTTTGTTGGTCCTATTTTCACCTTAGGAATACTGCACTCGCACACAAATGTTGATGTAATTGATTGTTAATTTTTATTTTTTTAATGATAAAATCGCAGAATTTATTTTTAAAAATGTATGACTATAAATTTTTACATCGACATAAAAATGCACAAGTCTAGATTTTTAATAACATTAATTTTGCTGTGGTTATAAATTCCTTATGATAAATATAGCATCATTTTTAATTTCCTTCTAATTACTCTTAAACGAGACATGAATTCTGAAATTCAACTTTTGCTAAGGACTGTAAATCAACTAAATATATAAACATATATTTTCTCTAAATAACTCATAAATCTTATTAGTCAAAAAGTACAATTGTCCATTTAGTAAGATTGATGATATCTAGCTAGTTTACTGCTGAATTCAAAATATTATTAGTTCCTCATGACCAGACTACAACCGTCCGCACTGGCAATCCATAAGTCGACCTTGTACTAAGGATCCCATCATGAAAAAAATAACGGAATTTAATGGCCATTTGTATTGTTAAACTGTAATTAAAATTGATTGAGAAACAAGTTTTTACCGTGAGGTGTACAGCTCAAATTAAGAAACTCTTATTAAATTTATGTACCTATCTTATTATGGTGAGGTGTACAGCTCAAATCAGTGATCAAAATCATTAATTTCTTGAGACAAAAAGGATCAAGATAAAGTAAGTTAATTAGGTAATCCCACATCGCCTATAGATGGATATAGATGATATAGTTTATAAGGAAGGACACATTTTTTGAGATAAGGTTTAACTGCAAAACCGTACAAATTCAGACCCAAAACGAACAATTTCATTACAAATGGAGGTGCAGGTGGTTACACCTCCTATCCAACTAAGAAACTCTCCTTAAATGTCCATACCAATTTTATTTTATTCCATACCCAGACTTGATAAAGATCTTTTTTTCCCCTAGTCCTTAAACATAACATTTAGTTTAGTTTTTATTCAAAGTAACTCTAATAATGTTAGTTATATCATGTTTTTAGCTAAACTAACTAATAATTTAGCTAGAATTTAGCCTTTCTTCACTCCAACCATTAGCTAAATAGTTAGCTATTTTAGAGAATCTATTTCATACTAGCTAAATATAGCTAGTAAGAAGTGACTAGCTATTTGATTTTTTATATTATTTTATTGTTTGAAACCATAATTTAATGAAGTTATTTATATTTTTAAACTCAATAAATATTAAAATAATTTATACTTAATTAAAATAGGAAATATGATTAGAGTGTATCACTTAAAAAATACTGGTTAAAATAATTTTTTAGCCATTTTAGTTAAAATTTAGTTAAAATTTAGAGAGCTCTCTTAGATATGCTCTAACGTTTGAGATATTTTTATAGAATCGATCGTGGCCTATATAGACACACACATATATATATATATATATATATGGTGAAATTAATCCATCAACTTATACAATTAAATATCTATATATAGAGAACAATGTAATAGGGCACGACGGTGGTCAACAGTTAGCACCACTCATTAATAGAAATTAAGTTCTGTATTGTGGGATTCACAGGTGAATTCCATTCTCTATTAGATAGTAATGTTTAATAGCAGTGGTGTTCTTAAACATTATATATGTATATATGTATTAACAAGATGGAGAGATATATATTACCCGTCAGTAAATGTTTGTTGATATTTCCTAAGTTGATCTCCTTGAATAAAGTCGATACGGATAGTTGGAATGAGATCAGGGCCTTCAGGCCTGGGCACTGGTTCAGCAAAGATCAAAGCCGAAGCCTTAATTTTCAAAGCAGCTCTAACTGCATCTCCAAAAGTAATGCTTACGCCTCCTGTGTCGGAGAAGCACAGAAGTACCCTCCCAGGCCTTGTCATATTTATAAGTGCACTACTCTCATTGCAAATACTGCATATGCAAAAAAGAATAAAAAAAAAAAAATTAGAATTTTTATCAAGATTAATTTTAAGCTGTGCAAACAAAGTATAATTATTTCCTCTTTTATTTTTGGATTATTTTCAGCAGTACACTCCTTAAATATTGTGGTCATTCTCACTTTTGTTCTCTAAACTTTAAAAACTCTTATTTTACCCTCTTAATTATTAATTTGTCTCATTTAATCTCTTTTGATAGATCTCTTGAAAGCAAACTAGAAAAAAAAAAGGATAGTAAAGTCACGCGATCTTTCTAACTGGAAAAAAATGACTATATTTAACCTCCTCTTTTCCCATCTCTTTTTTAACATAAGTTCTAACAAAGTTGCTTAAATCTCTATTTCAAATGTTGAGCCAAAAAAGAAAAACAAAATCCCTAATTCAAAATTTAACTGAGAAAATGAGAGTTTTAAAAATTTGAAGAGCAAAATCAAAATGACACTAAAAATCAGGCACATTAGTTTGATTAATCCTTTAGTTTTCGTGTGTCTTTTTTATATTAATGATAATTTAATCTTTGTAAGTTTTGGAAGCGCTTTTTTTTCAGTAATTATGTAAGAAAAATTTGATTAGTGCCACGTGTAACTAAATGCAGTAAAGAATAAATTAGCAAATTATAAATTTAGAGAAGAAGAGATAGATTCAGTACGTACCTATCTGAAAAATAATTAGTTGGAATCACCAATCTTTTAGTGATTGGTTTGTCGATAAAGCTAAAGCTTTCACCCTGAAAGCAATAATTACGTTTTAGTAGCTTCCTTAATCAGTATTTCATGTGCATGAATAAAAAGAATTGGTCTGAAATTTTTTTTGAACCCAAACTAAAAAAAATCCGGCCAATTGTGCAACTCAATATGTCTTGCCAAGCCAATATACATGTCCTTTCTTTCCTTCTTTTCTTTTTAATAAATAACGGCCAGTGCATCTTAGTAACAAAATTAAATGACTAATGATATGACGGTTCGTCAACAAATTAAATCACTACATGCCGGGATTATTTGAAATCTCTGTAATTATTTAAAATCTTTAGTTTTTTAAAAATACTTCAAATCTTTAATTTATTAAAATATTTCCTGCAACTGTAACTGATAAGGCAACGAGAATATATATATATATATATA